TTACTTATATATATATATATATATATATATATATATATATATATATATATATATATATAGATAGATAGATAGATATTTTATACATATAATTAAAGATAATATTTACTCATTCTTTACACTTCTGTGAGTGCACTAAAGTGTGTTAACAGAGAGCCACATAATTGACATATCTTTTTCCGAGATGACATGATTGTCAATCAATGCGCTTTCAGCAAACCCTGTGTGTAGAGTAGATGGGTACCCTTTACTTCTTGAAATTGGGTATCTTGCTGCCGACTCCTCAGAAATTATGAAGCGCAAGATTATCACACGAGTATTCCTTCTCTTCCTTCAGGTAATCTAGAGGTGGCCAGCGATTCTTTGTAACCATATCCCATGTTTGCGTCACTTAGATTGCAAAAGTCTGGCTTCTCTTCAAACGCTGTGTAATTGCTCGAGATGAAATGAAGGCACCAGTCGGAGAGCTGTTGTGAATTGTACAGCTAATATGAAAATAAAGAAAAAAACACAGAATCAGTTAATAATCTAAAATTAACATAGTATTACACAATATGACTTTAATTATTCTTTTAAAAATCTAGTTCCATATCTACATTATCAAATTTATTGTGACAAAAACATCTGATTTGCTTATATAGAGTACCACAGTTGTGTCATCACAACGCCACGTAGCACCATCTGTTGCCAACCAGACGTTGGTTACAGTTCATTATGCCTGAATGACTTCATAGGCTTTCTGAAATAGGCATTTTAGAATCTAATATTTTACCATCAAAATCTACTAAAAACACAAAAGCTCGCATTATATTAGTTATCGAACCCACATTTAATCATCAATTAAAATTTACAAAGAAAAACTAAGATACAGCATCTCAATAATTATGTTAGAAATTGGGATCAATAGTTTGTCAGTGGAGAAAATGGCTTCCGGTTGAACACATGTTGCAACAATAGCAACGGAGTACTATCACATAGTATCGTGACGTAACACTGTAGTACTCTATATGTGTATATTACATCATCATGCTCATATATAGATGTGATATGACATCATCATGCTGATACCGTATATGGGCAATTGATATAAATTTTGACATCATTAAATTTCCCCCAAAGTGAATGTGACAATAACAAGTGATTTGCCCATGTGTATATATCACCATGCCCATATAAGGAAGTGATATGACATGACATCATCATGTCCATATGGGTAACTGATACAAACATGTGACATAAAATTGTGATGCCATCAAATTTTCCTCTGTTATTTTTTCTTCCCATCTTAAAATGTTTGATATTAACCACTGTGAAATATTAGGAATAGCTTTATGACTTAACCAGACTATTAAATTAGATTAGACTTAACCAGACTATATAGGCATACAACAGTTAAAAAAATATATAAAAAATTACCTGAGCTGTGTTCAGTAGTTCAATACCATCAATATCAGCACCTGCGATGCTATCTGCTGTGGCAACCTCCACTTCTTTGGTGATGTACAACTCGCATATAAGTTCTTCAGACGAGGTTGGCAGAACCTATCACCGAGAATCATAATTCCAATAGAATCTTTACCTTCGATTGGTGAATGATCTGTGTACAGGTACTCCAGAAGAGCAAAAAAAAATCTCCAGCATCTGTTATGGAAACTTCCCCAGAGTTGCCGACATGACTTCGCTTCTCGTTGCTAGAACTATCGTATGAGCAAACATGGTTGTACCTACATTTGAAAGATATGTAAAGCTATAATTTGCATTCATAGAAATACAGGGGTCCCATTTTCGAAGAAATCCTTTTCAGGAGATCTGGTTAAATGAGCTTTCTAAACATAAATTAATTTAATTTAATTTATTTTGCCGTGCATGGTGATACCCAACGGAACTGACTTCTGTGAAGTAGTAAAAACATAATCTGTAAATTCATATATATATTTTTTTTGCTTGCTTCCGGGAATCCATCCCGATTTCTCAGAGATTCTCAGGACTTCCCAGACACTTCCCCTTTCGACCCCCCCCCCCCCCACCAAAATTAATAAAGGCTGGAAAACCATGTGGGGGAGCCGCTTTTGTCGACAACACACTGACAATGCGGCAGGTAGTATTGGGCTACATGGTACCAGTAGCAGGTATACAACCTTACGAACAGCTTCAACAACAAAAATAGTAACAATATTAATATTTTTGAATATGAGTGAAGCCGGGCAGTCACTGCGTCATACAACGGTCGTACAACCTTCGTTTGACGAATCTATTCTCAAAGAATCCAATAAACGATGCCGTCTGCTGATTGTCAGCGGCAGTCTGAACGGATCATCATTAAAAACAATCTGTTGCAAGCATGTCGCATTCTTCTTAGTATCGAGGTGGGTGTAATAAGTGCTCGGCTTAAGTAAAATCAGAAAGAAACATACCTTCTATATTGAACTTGATGTCAGACAATGCAGATTGGTTTAGAAAGATCTGCTTAGCTTGTTTACCCATCTCATCATTATAAGCAAAGTTCCAATACTTGGATTGAGAAATTTCTCATCATTCTCTATGTTTTTTGATTACTTCTTCCAGTCTTGGTTCATCAAAAATTCTTGAAACTGCTTTCAATTTATCAAGCTCTTCCTGGGTTTCATTTGCTCTAGGCATGGCAATCATTTCAAATTTCTGGCCAAATTTATGCCTGAAATGTCAGTCAAGACGGCACCACTACGTCAGCTCCTAGTTGACAAGAATGACTGGGTATGGTTGGAGGCCCAAGAAAATGCTTGGATGAATGTCAAGTCGACTCTGACAACCAGCCCAGTGTTAAAATTTTATAATCCGACTCAGACTTGCAAAGTGTCGGCTGATGCATCTAAGGATGGAATCAGGGCAGTTCTGCTGCAACAACAGACCAATCAGGAATGGGCACCTGTGGCATACGCGTCACGTTCAATGACAAGTGCTGAGACACACTATGCCCAAATTGAAAAGGAGTGTTTGGCGCAGACATTTGCGTGTGAACGTTTTCACCAGTTCCTGTTTGGCCACAAAGTACTGGCAGAAACGGATCACAAGCCTCTTATCTCCATCTTCAAAAAACCACTGCCAGATAGTCCACTCAGAATTCAGCGAATGCG